TTAAGAACCGACCGATCGTCAATAATGATGTCTTTCTGGGCGGAAGGTTCTTTCATGTATAGGAAGCTACCCTCTATAGCTCTCCACTTTTACAGAACGGATAAGTTAGATAGGTGGTGAGAGAGGCTAGGTCCTTGCAATGACAGGGCGTGTCTGGAGTGATGGGTTTGGCACGGCGCCAAGACCGTTTTCCACTGATTCTTGAAGTGAACAAGTGACAAAACTGTATCATATAGATAGTGTCGATCGTTTCTCACCAACTGTTGTCACATAGCCGCTTCAGCAAGTGGTGCAAAACGAATTTGGGGCCGTGCCATTTCCGGCATCCGCAGCGAGCAAGACTGCAATTGTAACTCCTTACTTTTTCCAGCTAAATACATCAATGGGGGAGGTGATCGCGTGAGTCCCAACTTCTTTTCCGCTTTTCTCTGTCTTGAGCCTTGGTTGTCCAGTGCATGGAGACCAGGAGGTGTTTGATCATAAACACCGTTACGATAAGCTGAAGAGTCTTGGTATGTGACGGGAGAATAATTCGCCGCGCTGTGGGCGTCGCGTGCGACGTCGCGCCCGCAAATGACGATGGTTCAGGTAGTAGATGGTGACAACTGGCAATTCAGAACCGAAAATGGTCATGAATATCTACAATTACAGGTATACTGTAGTTCGATGCGGACGGTTGGGCGTGTCAGTGCGGCTGCGTTTGGCGCGGTGCCAAATTCGTTCTCCACCAGTTGTTGGAGGGAGCAACTGACAATACTGTATCATATCCCTTGTATTACTGGTTTTACATTTTGTCGCATGTGGGTTTCAACAAGACGGCAGAAAAAGGCTCTGAATTGTGAACACTCATACTGGCTGACACGCCCAACCGTCCGCAGCGAACTAGAGTGTACATGAACTTCGGTGCAGCAATTGACAGCTTAACCCATTGCGTACCGCGTGCTGCACCATGTGCAGCACGCTCATTCGTCGCTGTATGGCCGCGTGCTGCACATGGTGCAGCACGATAATTTTCCCCTCCACCTGGATTATTTTGCATTGTTTTCTGCTACAAAGTTGCGAGCATATGTTTTTGGACACGGAGAACAACATAAGTACGTGGGACTTCGATCGCTGAAGGAGAACCTGGGTTATTGACCTCTTTCATGAAATACTTCAATTGCTACCTTCTTCATATATTTTCAACGTTCATAAACACTCATAAAGGATTAAACAGGACACCGTTGATGATATGTGTGGGAAACACTTAATGCAGAAATATGAAAATTGCTGCGAACGACTCACTAAACACCTTTCTTGTCGACCAGTAATCTCTGAGGTTTGACATGATTTCGAGTCCCATTTGGAAACAAATCGCCAAAAACCTCATCGAAATTATTCTAGTTTGATTACTTTGCGATAGCATAACGACTCGTTTCTCTTACAATCAAATCAACGAGATCGTTTGTGAAAAATCGCCAAAAATGGATTGGGTACTGGTAAGATAGAACATCTTCATCCAGTGCACCACCGAAACCTTGAAAGCCAAAATTGTTCTGCCTGCTGATACTTGGGCCCATTGAATCCCTCCATCGTTTGTATCTGAGCCTTCTTCGCTTGATTCCCAATCGGACTCATCACTTGAATGATTTGAATGATTCACGCGGACAACCGTATCTTCTGGGGTATCAGGGCCCTATTCCATCACTTCGTCATCACTTTCAATCAGAAGTTCATCAAACGATCTATTCAGAGCGTCCATCATTGCCTATCTGGAACGGCTGCCATAAATTAGGCGTAGTTTCTCAAAAATAAAATAGCCTGGAGAAGCGAAACGACGTACGTTGAGTTTATACTTCGCTGCGGGCGCGAGAAATACCGCTCTGCGTGGCCGCGTGCTGCACCATGTGCAGCACGCCGGCGAGGTTGCGAAATATGGTTCGGGCACACGCGGCAGCCAGCGAAAAAACGCCGCGGTACGCAATGGGTTAATACGAGTTAAGAACCCGCCGCCGCGCGCGGCGGGGAGCGGCAAATTAGGACTCTCTTGCCCGTCTCCCGGGGAGTCTGCCTAGCCAGACTCTGGACAGTCCAGAGGTCTTGGAGCTTTTTTAGACAGAAAAGGAAGGCACACTTCACTGTATCATCGTATTGTTAGACAGAAAAGGAAGGCACACTTCACTGTATCATCGTATTGAGCAGTTAAAGGCAGTCCGCCGCTCAAGCGATTTGTAGGTATCCTTCCTTGTGGGAGTCGTATGTTCCTTAGTCTCCTAAGAAACGCGCCGTGTCCCTCATATGTGGCTGTTGTAAAGCCTCCCTGTTGTCTCGCATACCGGAAGTCAAAGGCTACTTTCTATCACGAGTCCAATTTTAGCATCGCGTTTCCATTTTTTTTACTCCTAGATTGTATTAGCATTCGATAATGCATAGGAACATCCAGTGAGCCACACAGCGCCTCTCTTTGCTGGCATAAAATGAGCAGGTCTGGAGACCCGTCAAGAGAGGCTGCCAGAGGCTCTTAATTAGGATGCTCTCCGTGATTTTTTTTCCTTTTTTCTGTTCCCTCGATAGTCATTTAGCGACTATAGGTTTTTTAATGTCTTTATGCTAATTCTAAGTTCTCTTTGCCGTCAACTTGATGCTCAGTCGCAAAGTGCCCTTATAAAGCAATTCTCCGATAGGTATGGGTGTTCTTTAAATCAATATCCATTTGGCGCCTCCGTGCTTGTTTACGCACTGTTTGCTTTTTCATGTCGACAACGACCTGTTCGCGTGCACTATATAGGTGCTCCTTTTTTCCTGCTTCTCATGTGAACGTGCTCAAGATAAGTTTAACGTGGCTATATACTTTTTCAATAAACCTTGGCATAGTGATGGTATAGATCATTGATGAGTTAATGATGCCCAGATTCGCCTAGCTGTTCTTCGCTATCATTTGTTTCTTTTATCTAATGATTCATACATTTGTGTAAGTCATTTTTCTAGGTTAACCTTTCCTACCTCAGAGGGCAATGCTGGCATCTGTAGTGGAGCCTTTGTTTCTGGTAGGATTTACTTTGCAAGAACTTCACTTGGCGCCTTTTGGCGACTGAGAGGGGGGGGGCACTTACACTTCCGCTGCTTCACCTTGTCGTGTCGAGCCACCAATTGGAGGTTTGTGAAATCGGGTGCAAGCCATGACGTGATACCAGTCAACTTGTAGAAACTACTTGTAAACTCTTGAAGAGAATACTGTCAATTCTTGTAAAGAGCGTCGGTTAACTCCTCAAAGCAACGAAACGGCAATGGGAAACAGCGAAAGATGCAAAATGCCCCCCCCCCTCCTAAGTCGTCGCCGAACTGCGCCTATTACTTGTATGAGAGATTATCTTTCCACCTTTCAGCTGTTGTGAACAGATTGCTGTCTTTATTTCAGGCTCCCTATTTACATTACTACATCGAAGCAGCTCTCGTAGCTACTATTGTTTATTTATATGTGAATAGAAGGCAACGTAAATCTCACCATCACTCAACACTAACAGAGAAGGTGGAAATCAATGCAAATGTTCAAAGATCTTTTCTTTAGCTTTCTTCGCTGTTGCGAATGCGTTCGCTTTCAGCAAAAAGATCAACTAATAGCGGAATGGAAGCCAGAACCTTTGGTGCCCGACACGCCACAAGATCACCCGGTCCTCAATCCCAAGTTCGCTGACGGGTTTGTACAACGTTTTTTTAGACACATGTCTTTTCCCTTCGGATTTCTTTTATTTCAAGAAAAATGTCTAAATACGTGCGCATCGATGGAAAAGAGTATCTAAACATGGCAACTTCTAACTTTCTCGGTTTTGTAGGTGAAAAAAGGATTGAGGTGTGCTTTTCTGTTTTCTTTTTCAGCATATGCTTTCCCACATCTACGTTTGGTTCATATTTTTTTATATTTTCACGTATTTGAAGAACTTCAAAACAATTAAATTAAACCCTTATTACCCGCAGCGGCCTAGTTTTTTTTCTCGTTGACTTCCTCAAACCTTGTTCACTGAGCAGGCGTAGGTTTCCATGAATCCAAACAAGGAATGATTGTCATTGGATGGAAGGCGTCAAAGCTTGACGCTTTTGAAGACAGTCCCCGCGCTCAATCAATTTTCAGGTGTCCTTCCCTGGACAAGTAGTTTGTTCTCTCTAAGGTTGTTACCTTTCATGGCTTCACAGTAAGTAACGAAGGCGCAGGGGCGCTCACGAGTGGCAGTTGTGACCTTCCCTAGTTTTCCCGCCCATCATAACTCAAAGACTTTCTGACACGATTTCACTTATCACCCCAGTTTTCTGTTTTTTTTTAATATTAGATGGTATTAGCATTCAGTGACGCGGAGAAACGACAAGTTAGCTTAGATGGTAGGATATCGCTTCGCTGGCAGAAAACGAGCAGGTCCGAAAACCCGTACAGGGAGGCTGCTAGGGTCCTTACTTATTGTTATTGTGTTTCCATGACTTTTTTTCTGCTTTTCCCCCTGGCGAGTCGTTTAGTGGTCACAGGTTTGTGAGCGAAGGCTGTTATCCATCCATAATATCCAATCGCGTGATTTGTCTTTGAAGAAAGTGTTGTATCCGGCCGTTTGGCAAACTCCAGGGTTTTAGAATCAAGACGACAGCATTTAGCAAATCAAGGTTTAAAATATCTTCAGACTTCGTGAAGCACTGGCTTATGTTGCCAAGCTGATCTCAAGTGAACTGATCTTTGTGAACTCTCGGGGATGGGGGAGAAGCACTGCATCATTCAGGGCTTAATAAGTCAGCAGTTGATCATGCAGACGTATCAGGGGGGGGGCAAAAAAAGACTTTTCTTCCTCGACTTTCGAGGCGCTATAAGTTACACTTTATTAAATTTATCGGACATTTCTACCACCATATTAAAGAGCATATTAAATACTATCATGATACTCCGCCACAGCCTTCTGGAGGAGCGCCATCGAGAGATTCTGCCACGCGACCGTGAGTGGTGCCTGAGTTCAGCGAGATCGTTGATTTCTCCGCCACTGTTATGACCAATCAATTGAACGTCCGTCCGCAGCAAGGTATATTGATGGTTTAGGTCAGGTACGCTGCTTTAGACTGTCCACCTTCTTCAGAGTATTAAGCCCTTCCACCATAGTTAGGCGAGAGTTTCTCCAATGCTTTGCACGAGTTCCATGGTGGCACCCAATGCGTAGCAGTACAAAGTTTCCAAGAAGGTACGGGTGACGAACATGTGGAGAGGATTCTTCTCGAGTTGCTCGATGTAACCGCCAGCGCTCACCTTTAGTCCGGGGCCCACGAAGAAAATATCGGTCTCTCCATTCCAGGTACGTCCGGTCCCACCATCAACTGGCGCCTTGGCGACTGAGGTGAAGATGATGTCCTAGACCGTAGCGACGTTGACGGAGCGCTGGCATGTTGGAGTCTTCCAGTATTGAGTGTACTGTCTCCAGTAGCATACCCATGGGTGACTCCACACTAGAAGTTCCGCAGCTGTTTGGAGGTGACATGAATTCCAAAGGTTTCTCCAGTCAGGTTGCGGCTGGAGATGACTTCATATTTTGGTGTACATGAAGTGATGGGCGAGCGCCAGCTCCTGCTTATAGGAACATCTTGGGTATCTTCCGCCCTGGTACTCGTATCCACGTCCTCTGTCTGGGCTGCGAAAACTTTGCTGATATGTGACTCGGTCGAAATGTCTTTTTTTGCCCCCCCCCCCTGTACATCAGCAGCTGGCCGCAGTAGTTGTGAGAATCAGAACTGCCTCTGCTTGAGTGATGTACAGTCTTATTCGCAGTGGATGCTGGGACTTGTCAGGGGGCTGGGTAGAGCGCAGTGCGAGCCTGTTCTCCATCAATTGTTGGAGAGGGCGAACGGTAACATTTTACTGAGAACGGGTGGCGCCGCGCGAAACCCAGCTCCTGGCACGCTGCAGCATCCGCAGCGAGCAGTACTACCTATTTTATCTCGATTTTTCGACAAAACTCTCGGTCCCATACGAGAGTCCCTTAGAAATGTTATGCTTATGCTGTTTTTCAGTACATTTAGTTATAGGTATAGGTGTGGCTCATAGAATACTTTCAAGGAAATTGCCAAGAAAACTATACTCAAATACGGTGTTGGTTCTTGTGGCCCTCGAGGATTTTACGGTACTGTAGATGTTCATCTTGACTTGGAAGCAGATCTAGCTAAGTGAGTTTCACCATCTCGAAATCGTATCGAATGTTTTAATCATAATGATGTCAGTTTCCGTTTTTTGAATTTTTCCCCAGTAAGAAGTCATAAACTGCTTGCTCACTCACTGCAGAGATTCCAGAGTTATTGTTTTTTTTTGCCAAAACGCCTTCTGTGTTCGGTGCCGTAATGGTAGGATAAATGTGAACTATTTTCTCATTTTTTTAGCCTTGCTTTTCAGATTCATGGGATGTGAAGAAGCGGTGCTGTATAGTTATGGTTTTGCAACCATAGCTAGTGCTATCCCTGCTTATGCTAAGAGAGGCGATATAATATTCGTCGACAAAGGTAAATTTTACTTTGTTCGTTATTATTGTTGCCTCCATGTTCATACTCTTCCTTCTGCATCGTAGGAAATATGACGCTGAAATTTCAAGTTTTCCGTTCTTAGGCGTCAACTTTGCCATTCAAAAAGGACTTCAGGCATCTCGCAGTCGTATCGAATGGTTTGATCACAATGATGTCGATGATTTAGAACGGCTGTTGAAAGAGCAAGAAGCCAAGGACAAAAAGGTCAGCGTCTACTAGACACACTCTCGCTTTGGGCAATTTGCACTTTCGTTAGTTTCTTTTCCTAGTTCATGTTGAAGTACGCGCCCCTTATCGAGTGCAGCTGAAGTTCCAGATACTGCATAGTTCAGGAACTCAGGAATAAGCGAAATGCCCACAACGATCTTGTTTAGCGTAATTATAAACACCGCTGATTTCAGGACCCGAAAAAAGCAGCTGCAATCCGTCGTTTCATTGTGGTTGAGGGCTTGTATGCTAATACCGCAGATCTCTGTCCACTGCCTCGTATAATGGAATTGAAATGGAAATACAAGGTGAGATTTATTTCCCGCACAGCTCACTTTTAGATTCCTTCAGTCTTTTTCATTGTCTCGGGTGAGTGATCAAACTAATATAAATACTTTACATTATTGCAAAGCCAAGTGCTTAAGTTTGACAGTCTCAGTGAACCATTCTTCACCCAGGGGTTTTTCAGATAACTGAATTTCTACTTTTTTGTGAAACGATTCATTGTACGTTGTAGGGGTACATAAAGTGCCAATCCCGGCGATGGAAAGGGCGTGGCTGTGCAATCATTTGGGCGTGATGTAGGATGCGTTTTCCGCAGGATGTTTTCGTTTAAAGGCAGTTGGCACGATAAATCCTCCAAGACGAGCAGGACTAATACGCCTGGCAGGACGGAATTCCGCGACCCTGAGCAGGCGCTGCATAATGCCTTTTCCAAGGAAGGTGCCCTTATAAGGGCGCTAC